CTGGTTTCCAAAATTGAACTATATGAATTTTATAGTAGGACTATATGTTGTCCTAAACAAGCATCTACAATACCTGGGGATGCTACCAAAATGGCTTTTCCTATTAACAGGATGAAGCAGAGGGCACAAAAGCCCTCAATTTCTTTGCTCTTTTGATGCGTAGGGGAAGAGACAGTGGGACAACATGACTTTAACTGAGTGGTGTCCACCCCTAAATGGCAAAACGAGACTATAAAACACGGGATCAGCCTCTGTTTTCTGCCAGATCAGCACATTCTTTCCGTTATTGCAGTTATTGTTGTGTCTGAATACCTAATTAATTACAACAGTAAACGCTGGCTTCTTTAATCACAGCATCAGCTGTCCTAATCAATCTTAATAATATGGAATCTGTACTATGGCACCCATGAATTTTAATCTACATAAATTTCTTAAGACCTCTCGCAGGCTTGTTGTACGAAATGATATAATTATGGATATAGATTAGGGCTGTAGAGAGTGATTTAAATTGGATTTAAGGAGAAGGTGAATAGAGCCCTCCCACTCAGTTATTTATTTATTTTAATCCTGGCCTTCACATAGATTTTTTTTCCCTCTCATTATGTTATTAACCCCCACACTAACTAAACAACACTGCCTCTCTTTGATCACCCTCCTCCCCTATCCACCTTCCCAAAGGTGATAGTGGCCAAGCTGCAGCTCCTGGGAGAGGTGTAAAATACCTTTGAGACAGTAGGAGGAAAGAATAGATGGGGCAGACCACAAAGCTGTGGATCCAGTTGATAACTTGCTGTTTCAGACCCCTATAGGAAGCATCTCTTCAGAACAGAGTGAAATAGATGGAATTGAGCATGTCTGTCAAAAAATGCACAAACTGTCAGAAGCAGGGAGTGGAGAGAGTATCATACAGTTGTAAGCTGACTCCTTCCACCAAAATGAAGTCCCAAGGTGCCTTAGGGGCCTAAAATGAGCCAGACCCTGCTTTTGTCTCTCAGAAGGACTGACCCCTTCTGGTTTCAGAGAGCAGATCACTTTGGCTTTCTCATACCCTGAGCTGGGACAGGGAGGCTGTCCCATAGTCCACTGAGGGGTATGGAGGACCCCCTTTTGATGCCTCAGACCATCATCCTTTTTTCTCACCAGCCCACTGGTTTAGGTGCAGATCTTCCTGATTTACACTCCCGACTGTCACAGCAGACTCCAACCCTCTGTCCCCTGCAGCCATTTTCACTTGAAGCACCCATATAACAGCTTGTCTTGGCCAGACACTGTAGCAGGGCTACTGACATCTAAGGAGAGATTCTTTATAGAACATCACTTAAACCAATTTTATTTATTTTTAACAACGTGCTTCATTCTGCCACCTCCATTCATTCACTCTCTGACAAAAGCTAAATGTCAGGCCCAACAATAACTAAATGCCCCTTTAAAAAGTTGGATTTCAATCTAGAGATATATCAGTAGTAAGAAACCTTCCTGGTCTTAATTTTAAAGCACTGGTATTTCATGCTGACTTGGGAAATCATCCTCACTTTTTGGCATCAGGCAGAGGATTTGGAAAGTGACATTAACAGATCTACTTTCTTTGAAGGACTTGGGAGTCATTTCTTGACTTCTGCCTAATGAATAAGTACTGCCTTCGTTAAATTTATATTTATGACCATATAGTAGGTCATTGGCTTGTTTTATGTCTCCAGGTTTATGGAAGGTTATCTGCCATGGTCACCTTGTGGCATCTTGGCCGGGATCATCTTGCAAAGAGACAATTGTATCTGAGCAGGATTTTTCCCGTGGAGATATGGAAATGATCAAATTAATATAGAGGAGATGTCCAGGGATAAGGCTCTTGCCCTGAGCTGACAAATGAAGTTACTATTAGCATCTGTTTTCACAGTATACCTTTAGTTTGCCCTAGCAAGGCCAGATCTTCAGCTCCTGCAAAGCAGCAAGGCCACAGGGACTTCAGCAGAGCTGACGTGATTGATAGTTGTCCTCTGGCCTCTCAGGAACCTCTCTGCATTTTTCCTTTCACCGGGTGATCCTCAGCATGTACATTACATCACCCATAATCTCAGAAACGTCCGTATGTTGGACATCTCCATGAGTCTGGCCAGAAGGAAAGCTGCTTCAGATGTTATCCGTAGACGTATTTACACAGAGAGTCACCAGCACATCCGAGGTTTTTGGATGATGTCACAACTTAGAGACATGCTAGTTCTGGCCCAAAAGCCCCTTCAAGGTGCTTTATGTAATCCATGTCCCTCATCTACTGCCTCCTACATCCCTATAGCTCTTACCAGCTCTTACTGAGTTATTTACCTTACGGGCCACTGTGGGGTCACAGCCTAGCACAGGCAGCACACAGAGCTGAGGAGCTGAGGTCTGTTCCCAGTCCCACATGCTTGTGTTCAACTATTATTTGCAGTAATAAAGAAGACTGGCAAGCTGGATGGGGAGAAAGGGTGGCTGAGACAGGGTAACTCTCCTACCTAATGATCTATGTGAAGGCCACAGGGGCACACAACCTATGACGTGTATCTTATGAAGGAATAAAGCAACTTTTAACTCATGGTTCTCCTTGTGTTGGGACACAGAAATGACTCATATCTCCCCATCACTTTGAATTTTAGCACATGGTGTGCTACAGCCATACAAAACCTCTGCAATGGGTTGACTCTCATACATCTCCTACATCTGAGCCCCTGCTGAACTTCTCATGGATCATTAGTATGTAAGAAGGCTGTCACTTTACTGAACACAGTAGGGACACAACATCCTCAAACGTCTAATCTGTGTCTTGAGATTTCTGGATCAATATCAACTGTTGGCTTCATATATGCTACAGCTGGGAGTGCAGGCAGTTATGCCCTTTCCTAGGTTTAATTCCTCTGGCAGAGTGAGCAGCAGCATGAAGATATGCTCATGGCTGCCCAAGATGCCTTGGCTTCCTACCAGGGTGTCCAGCCAACACTGGAGTCTGTGTCCCTGCATCTTCATAGGCCATATTGGCCAGCATGGACACATCCACTGTACTGGAGACACATCTTCATTTGCTCAGTAAACACAATCATCAGGCTAAGGAAGGAGACTTCTGCAGTGAGCAGAGATAATCACTTTTGTTTTTAAGAACTGCCAAGTTAAATTCCTGCTGGCTGTGACTTACCACAACTACTTCTCCCAAGTGGCCAAAGGTAGGGTATGAGACTACACGTAAAACACAGAGCCCCAAGCCACAAGTTGCTGCCTCCCCAGAGGTGCTTTAAATTCTCTCCTTTTCAAGAGCATCCAGGACAGTCTGGGTCAGTGTAAGAGCCCTGTGTGTTAGAACAGCCACTTTGCATCTTCTTTTCCTATGAGGAAGTGATTTCCAACTTGGAGCAAAACTGACTGAAACCAGGGCAGAGTCTTCCTACTGGCTTGCATGTGCTGTGAGCCAAGACGAAATTCCATGCATGATCTGGGGCATGAGGCACCCTCGCGAGAAAGAAACACCCATTTAGATGCTACCTTTGATGACAAGTCATTAATATTCAGGAAAATAGTTAACTCTAAAAGCTTTAATGTGGAAGGGGGAAAGGCTGCATTTAATGTCCTGTTGTCCCAAACATTTTAAATAAAGTATTTGTCCAGTTCTAATATTTAATCTTAAAGATGAACCATGGTTTTCAGTGTATATATCCTAAGCAGAGTGTCGTAGTTCTGATGGTCAAAGTGAGGTTCCAAAGGCAGGTGAGATATCCACAGGTGGGGTAAGGAAGGAGAGCAGCTCTCCAGTGAGCCACGTGGTCCAGTTCAGCACAGTCTCAGCTGTAGCTGGGAGATTGGGCAGTTCCCATATGTTCCCAGATGAGGCAAGAAATCAAGGAAAGGACCACAGTCAGACAGGTCCTGCTTAGTGACTTCTCCTGAGTCAGTGAAGCAACAGCCATCGCTAATTGTCAGGAGGTCAGAGAGAGAACAAACGTGCCCAAACCAGACTCATTTGGAAAGGAATGAAATGCTGTAACTGTATTTCCTGGGCAGCAAAGACAATTTCTTCTTCTAGCTCTACAAACAGATGAGTGCAAAGAAGGAAGGGCAGTTGCCTTTGGAGCAGAGATGGGAGATCATTTCCTTTACTGCAATCTGCAAAACCATAGCTGTCTCAGAAAGATTTGCTTATTTCACCACAGGTTCCCTCACCTTTCTCAGGAGATATCTTCTACCTGACAGGACTTGGTTATTTTGGAGGGTCCAAGTTATTATGATACATTCTCCCAAAGGGGTGTGGGAACTGGTGTATGACTCAACCTTTCATAGCTGTTGAGCTTTCTTCTGGAGCAATATGATCAGCATTCTGTTTTTTGAGGAAAACTATTTTGAGCAGAGGTTAAAAAGAATAGACTTTATTTGGTTTCTTCTTCAAGAGTGCAGGAGTAAGTGGAAACAATTTTTATATTTTCCAACCACTTCCTCCAGTTTCCTGGAACAACTACTCCTTAGAAATGTAGCTTTATGTCTCTACTATGCCCTCCACTGATCTCCCACAGGTTTTAATATATCCTCCTCACACCCCTTTGTAAGAAGTGAAAATCCCTACAGTGGGGCAGTGCTTTCCCATTTCACATACACACGTATTGAGGGACTTGCCAAAAGTCATCTAGGTAATTATTTCAACCTAAGGCTGCAATCCCACTTATTTCTTCCTGTGACTACCTCATTCTCAAAGCCCACGTGTCCAGTAATGTCTGTAATGAACAGAAGCCTCCAAGCTTTAGCCAGCTAATTGGGTTTGCTGCCTCAAAGTTTGGTCTTCTCATCATTCCTCCTTGTATTTTGGGAGAAAAGTGCAACACCTTGCAAGCTTCTAACATGACCAATGGTTATCTTTAAAGTTAAGTTTCAAGCTGGTATATCTATCTGTAAGAAAACACTTAATCCATGTTCCTTGGGTCTGTAATACTCACGTTTGACAACCTCCCCCACACTTTGCCATACAGTCAGTGTCTCTCCTTGGATAGGTGTATGGCACCAGATTTCCTTCCAAGAGGCCCCCACCTTTGCATCCTCCAAGCCTTGCCTCCAGCCACACCTCTGTGCGGGTAAGAAGGAAAAAGGTGGGATGGATGTGGGAAAGTGGCAGCTCCCTAAGGGATCATCCTACAAGGAATAAGCCGAAGGGACTGTGTAAATGTAGAACTGTGCAGCACCAATAAATACAAATTAAACTCATAACAAGAAGTGAAATATTAGGGCCAAGGTGACATTTGGACTGGAGGTTCAGCCAAGCTTTGCTTTAAATTTTTTATTGCTGCAGATAAAGAAAGAGCTTATCCAACACGTTTCTCTCTTTTTTCCTCCCTATCAACCAAAGGAGAAAAAGAAAAAAAAAAATCTTAACTAGCTTTGGTTGTATTTGAGCAAGACTTCAAAGTTTCACAAAAATAAACAGTTTTAGTGGGGAGGAATGCTCACTTGTAAAGAGAGAAAATGCACTTTGAAGCCAGCAAGAGACTGCATGCCTTATGGAGAGATTCACAGCATCCTCCCTGGAGCAGACAAGTGGTGTCCCCTGCCCCCCCCCCCGCCCCCCCAACCAGCTTCTTCTCTCTCACAGGGGGCTGCCTGGCAGCAACACAGTCCTTCGAAGGGATGTGGGGATGACAGGAGCCACTGCTTTGTTCTCTTCTCCTTCCTCCTGCTATGCCCCTGTTGTTTTCTGCTCTGATTGAAAGTTTCATGTGACTGTAGCTGTCACTGAGATCTGAGTTTGCACAGCACCTAGCACAGTGTCGGTCCTGGCTTAAGATGAGGGCTCTTTGGGGTTGATTACTGCAATGCCAAAAATCTGCATGCTCAGTGCAGATCCATAATTTAAGTTTGGGAAAGGAGGATAGAGGTTTATTTGCCCTCTGCTCCAAGGTCTCACAGGGTGATGGCTGGGGGACAGAACCCTCTTGTCCATGCTGGGGGGCTCTGTGCAGTCCTGTCCATAGGGCAAGGCAAGCTGCTCCTCTTCCGCAACCCTCAGCCCCTGGGTCTGTCTCACAACACGTTGATGATGAAAGAGAAAGGGAGAGTGCCTATCATATTTTAACCCCTTAATTCCTTCTGTCTCTTATGTCTCCACAGCACAGAGCCCCACTGCAGCAGACCCCTTGCAGCAAGCCTACGCTGGAGTGCAGCAGTACGCAGGTCGTTAGTATTAACACTTTCTCCCAATAAACCTTTCTCTTCTGTAAAGCCATTAATCTCTGAACACACCTCAGGGGGCTGAGAGAAGGGAGGTGTTTACTAATACAGGGGCAAGCTGGGGGTCACAGGCTCCCAGATTAGGTTTGCACAAACACCAAGCCCAGGGTCTTCTCCCACAGAGGAAGCAACCTCCTCCTTTTTCCCAGGGAATTGGTCCCACTGGCCTGTACCTCAGTGAAACTTGATCAGCAGGACTGTGTCTGGTTTGCCTTAGCACAATTCATAAGTCCAAAATCAGGCCACTGCTTTGGAGGCCACTTGCTACAACAGGTCTCCTGAATGCTGTAGCAAAGAGAGAAAATAGGCAGCCAGGCCCTGCAAAGCCACTGCTGCTGTGCCTGGCACGGTATGTAATGCCTGCACATACCCATTTTTTTAGGGTATGTGTACTGGCCATTCCCCAGTTAGTTAGTCTGAGACTTACTTAGGAGATACACAGACATCCTCCCAGCTTCCCAGCAGATTTCTCCACAGCTCCCAGTGGATCAGCCTCCACTCGTGTTGCCCTGTATGCTGAGCAGCTCCTTTGCAGTTGATGGACTGACACCAACCAAAGTGACCTGGTGCAGACCACGACCCCGCCGTGTTCAGCCTCCCCTCACGAGGTGTCCATGGCCAACGTTGCGAGGAAGCTGCCACCCCAAAGTCATTATTTCCTGTGGTAACTGGAGCGATCATGGGCTCCCGCTGAGGAATGGCTATTATCTCATGTCAGCGCTGTATCTGGAAACTTAATTTAATTCTCCATGTAGGGCTTCATTTGCCGGTGTTTTAGTTATTGTCATTTATTGCTTGTGAGGTTTGATAGATGGGAAGCAGCTCAACCCTTTGAGCTGTTAATTAACCCCTCTGCACACACATGGCCCCTATCCCCTTCTCTCTGGTCTCGCAGCCGACCCATACTCCGTATTTTTAGCAGCAAGACACATCATCTACCATCTGTGGTAGTGAATGGCTCCCCTTGTTTGCTTGGTGGGAGAGCTGAGTTGGGGAAAATTGTTTAATTGCTGCTCACTGTTTCCACTGTGTTTGTGTGAGAGAGAGGAGGTCTCTATGGACATGAAAGAAAATGTATATCCAAGGGTGTATGTGCAACTCTGTCCGTACAGTGTGTGGGCATATGAAGGCAGGAAACATGCATGTGGATTGTTTTTACGAGCACGGGAATTAATCAGGGTACAAGGGAGATTACACAGGGGAAACGTGTGCTCGCTCTCTGCACGTGGCTGTCAGCATGGGCCCCTCTATGCTGAGCTCGAGAATGGATGTGTTTGTGTCACCATCTGGAATGGTTGCGCATGTCTTCTGGGAAAGATCTCAGCAGAGACCCCCATTTACACCGCATGGCTCTCCTCGGTGTTACTGCTGACGAAGCTGAAGGGAGGGTGGGTGCTCAAGGCCATGTGGCACCTCCTGGAGCACAGCCATGGTTCTTCTGCCACATCTCAGCCTGCACGAGATGGCCCCTCACAGAGCCAAAAGGCAGGGTGAAAGCCCACCTCTAGCTTGGTATGGTGGCTTGGAGTGAAAGTTCCTCGCTTCCCAGCACTGAAATCTGTCCTTCTTTCTTCTCTCCCTTTCTCTCCCCTGTAGCTGCTTATCCTGCTGCTTATGGCCAGATTAGCCAAGCGTTCCCACAGCCACCTCCCATGATCCCACAGCAACAGAGAGAAGGTGAGTAAAAGTGACGTCTTCCTTTGTGACCCCAGCAAGCCATCCCCATCACGTGGATTCCCCTCCTTGTACACCTAGAGTATCCATTAAACGCCTAATTGCTTTGGATCCCTGGTCCACTGAGTGTTTCTCCATTTCCGTATATGGCACAACATCGTTGTCACAAAGGATAATATGGAGAAACATGCTCTTGGGGAATTGCTGATGATATGTCCTCAGTCCCCAGGGAGAAGAGAACGCTGATGTGCACAGGCCATGGAAAGACCTGCTAGCAACATAGGCAATAACGTCCAGTGGGGGTCTGTGTCTGAGAATACATACAAAAATGCAATTGCATTGAAATAAAGAACTTTGTAGGAAACTCCTTCATTAAAAGCCAGTAACATGATTTCAGACACCTGCTATTTGGAGATCAAGGACCTGCTATTTAAAGTAGCTTATCCAGTCCTTTCAGCCTCCACTGGTAATCTGGAAACAGAAATCAGATCCTGTAGAGCACAATTTCTATATCAGGATGAGAAAAATCATGTAGTAAGGGTACCTATTTCTTTACATTGACTATCAGAGGAGCCTGAGTAATCTAGTTCACAGTATTGGATGGCTTCACTGAAGACACGAAAAGTAAGGAGAGGTAAATGTAACATTATTGCATGTAAACACTTTGGGAGACAACTGTGCCATGTAATTTTCCCTTTAGAGTCAGTGGGGAGCAGTGGAATCCTCAGAGGCAACCCACTTGGGTAGCTCCAGTTGTCCTCCAAGGAGTCCACTGCTCCCTTTTGACAAGAAAAAGGGACTGCTTGCCTAAGTGAGGCTTTAAAGTCAGGTGCTCCAGCTTAGCAACCCTCATTTTAAATAGTTACAATTTAAATTTTATCCTCTATAAGATCACTAAGTCAGATATATTCTATATTATATGTGTTATTATATATATGTAATTACATTTAATGTTTTAATATAGTGTAAGAGTCAGAATGAAATGGATCAAGATTACACTATCAAGCTAAAACATTCTGATGGCCTAGAACTACTTTCAGGGAGAAAACTCATTTTGTAAGAAAATTAGAAATGTTGGCATTTCCATCTAATTTGGAATTAATTTTTTTCCTATGTCAGAATTTCCTGGGGAACACAACTTCCAGCTCCTGATTAGCTCCAGTGCATGTCCCTGCTGTGAGAACAGATGCACAGACCTATCATATCATTACAGAGATGTTTCCCCCATGCTGAAGGACTTTGCTTTTTATTACTTACTGGGGCTAGATTAAGCACAGGACAAAATGGCGAGCAGATCATTGCTCAGCACAGCACAGTGCCAGGAACTGTCAGGAGCAGGGGAAAGCTGTGGTGCACTCTTTGAAGACCCTCTGCCTGAAGATCCCTGTGTTCATAAGGCATGGTGTGTCTCTGTGGGTTGGGAGTGAGTGTCACCCAGTGGACAAGTTATCTCATAACTCTTCACTCCTTGTAAGCAGCTGGTATTGAGGCTGAAGGTGGTTGGGGGCCAGAGATGAGAGATGTACGACCAGTCCAATGCAGGTTGGCACTCCCAGTGTCCCTCATTTTCCTGCAGTGTTAGGATGCTGTGGCATTCTCTGCTGCTAGAGGATAATCTGTGAGACGCAACACTCCATTTTAGCAGAGGGTCAAGACCTTTAAGAATCTTTAACCTCTAACAGGAAAACACAGCAAGAGGGAACTCTAATAATGACGGTAATGCCCAGTGCTGAGAAGAGTACTTTATGTTTGCAAGGATGTGCATAAACATTGATTCGTTAGTGAACCAGCCCTACCACAACAGTAACACCAATGATCACATTGATAATAACAATGCTAAACTCTCCGCTCCTGGATCCCAGTTGGATAACAAGCCCAGAAACGTTTGGCTGCTGGAACCTTCCTGTAGAGATTAGTCATTACTTCCACACAAGCACTGAGGCTGACGGCAGCTGACAGGGCGCATGGGGTGGAATAGATCCAAAGCTATCAAAACTTGAGATGAAATCTTGATTCAGGCCATGTCAACCACAGAAAACTTGGAGGTAATTTTACATTTGAATGGTATTACTCATCTTAATGTAATTTCTGAAACTCAGAAGTACACTTACACATTAAAATAAAGTGGTACAGGCTTGTGACTCTCACGTGCCCTGTTCGCAAACACTCTGGGGACTGAATAGGAAGCAAATGCAGAAGAGGCAATGAAATTCCAGCCTCTGAGTGTTTGCTGGAGAGGTGAGGTGTGCAGCTGACCAAAGTGCTGCAGGCTAACTTCACACAATCTTACAGGACAGCCCAGTTTTAGTTACTGTTGGAAAACAAGTCTAATCATAGCCTTTCCTTGTGACATTGCCTCACGGTGTTAGGGATGCAATGATACATAGTTGATATCTGAACAGGTATGTGGAGTTAACTCATGTTGACAGTGGGCACCAAGGGATAGGCTGGGTCTGTAGCTGTCCCGGTGCTAAAAAACTAACAATGAGCTGAAGTGTGAAGAGCATGGACAGAGCAATGGCTTAGCAGTTCAGGTCCAACCAAGCCAAATCAACCATGTGGTTCTGTGCCCTGAGTAACAGGTTTTTCCATTATCCAGCGTGGTTCCCCTGTAATCTACAAATGATTCATAAACTGTGAGCTCCTTAAAACTCTTCTTTCTTTTTTGTCCAAATCAAGGCTACCTGTGCTTCTTGTGTATAAATGTACAGAAATATATATAACTTAAATTCATAAAACCAAGAGCCATGGTAGACATCAGTGCAAAAATGAAACTTCATTTTCTTCTCATAATGTGTCATGAGGGTGAGATTTCAAGTTGGCTCAGAGCCCTTTTAAAAAGAAAAGTGAAGCCTGTGGTAAATAATTTTATTACTGTATTCAGCCCTGAACTGCCAAGTATGCTGATCTCCAACAATCCATTAACTCTGTTCAAAACCAGAACTTTCTCTCCAGCAAGTTAGTTGGAGTCTTCAGTAGGGTTTTTCCATGCCCACTGGGATTTTCCTCTTGCTCCAGTGATTTGAACAAGTCTCTCAAAACTCATCGCATTTGTGCACTGAGAACTAACTTAGATTTTCATAGAATTCTGAGATGAACAACTCACAGAATCATAGAATAATTTGGGTTGGAAGGGACCTTAAAAACCCTAGGTCCAACACCCTGCCACAGGCAGAGTCACCTTCCACTAGACCAGGCTGCTCAAAGCCTCATCCAACCTGGCCTTGAACACTTCCAGGGATGGGGCATCCACAGCTTCTCTGAGCAGCCTGTGACAGTGCCTCACCACCCTCATAGTGAAGAATTTCTTCCTGATGTCTTGTCTTCGGTTTCTTAAAAATATACATGTATATACGACGAGACAGCCACATACACAAAACCATAGTCTACTATGGAGTGCCTATATTAACTTGCAGCAGGCAAAAAAATCCAACAAGGTAGAATGGTTGAGGCAGACAGATCATGTTTTTTGAATTCTTTACCAAGGACTCTAACTACAACAGGTAACTTACAGATGGATTCAACAAAAAATTGCTTATTAAACTCCAATGGCAGAATTTTCATATGTGAGGGGGACAAAACAAGTCAAACTATCCCAATGTTTTTTTTTCTCAGAAGCAGGTGGCATTTTCAGTACTGGAAATTAGCCAAAAACCCTCTGTAGTTGGGAACAAAGTGAGTTCAGCCTTGCATGTCTGAGTCAATATGGGAAGCCACAGCACAGGTTTCCTAGCCACATTTCAGAGCTGAGCTGGGCTTTGGGGATGGTCCCTGCTTTTTCACACCCTCACTGGTCTCTTACTCTTGGTCTTTGAGTCGTGTGAGGAAAAGTTGATTTCAAGGTGACCTAAGGGTTGTTCTCTCCTTGAGCCCAGCCTCTAAACATGGTCTAGATGAAGTTGTGTGCCTCCTGGTCTGCCTTATGCCTTGGTAGGTGTTTCTCAGCACACACAGGCAGAATCCATACTCATGCACAACGAGTCCAAGACCCCAGGAAATGCAGCTGGTATTTTTGAAAGAATTGGCCAGTTTTACAGAGCAAACTGCTGGCTCTGGTGATGTCAGTGGGAATTTTGCCACCAATTGCAGCAAAGCCAAGATTTTACCCATTCTATTATAATGTGGATCTCAAATCCCACAGCAGAAGTGCTCTGGGGCATGTTCAGATGAAGGAATGAATTTTTTCCCTGTTATTCTGGACCATGGTCTTCTCCTGGGCAGAATTTTCTCAATTGTAACAGGCATCTAAGGGGGTTGGTGTTTGTTTAACACTTTCAGACTGTTTCATATCTAGCTTACCATGCCAATAACTCTGTATTGTGTGGAAGCAAATGGCAGCAAGGATTGGAGAAGGGATAGTTGCTCAGTAAAGAGACTAAAGAAGAGGCAGACAGGAGGTGGGGGGAAACTGGAAAAGCTTGGCATGAAATAGGGGAGCCTGACTGTGGGCCACTGAGGTTCAAAAGTAATTTAGCTAAGCAGATGACCGGGTGCCTAATTAGTTAATTATCCCACCATACCACTATCCCCCACATTTGGAAGAAACCCTGTTACCATCCCCATGACCTTTAGGAAATGCACAAGATGCAAAGGATCAGCTGTTCCTTCATGACAGTCCTTTTAGCAAATTAGTGGGGAAAATTGTGCTTAGCAAATATTCATTAGGGCTTCATTTTCCATTAATCCAAAAGGAAATGTGGAGAGCCTGTGACTTCAATCATGCTGAGGCCCAGGAATTTTAATGAGCTTTAAATGGGCATCTGCCAGAATTCTGACTTCACCGTACTTCTCCTGCCAGCCGGGGGGATGAGTAATGGCTAATAAAAGGTGGGAGCATCTAGGCGAACTCCTCTCCCTAACAGGAAAGGCAAAGTTGTAATTTGCTGTGTTATGACACTGTAATTATGCCCTGATGAAGAAAACGAGAGTATTAAAAAACCCTTTCCTTCCCCACAGACATAAAAGGGGGAAAGTTGACTGAGTCAGGTCACAGGGTTGCAGGCACATGGACTAGGGGGAAGGAGGAAACCTTCCTTCTCTCTGAGCTCTTATACTTTTGGCAAAGGGCGTGCACTGTATCCCCTCTCAGCAAAGCAGGGCTGGAGTTACCTCTCGAGGCCAATGCAAAGCTGGGCATCACCTGGAAATACCTTTGGAAATAAGACGATTAAAAAAAGAATCCCTGTCTCTTCAAACTGTACAGTTTTCTGCTATTGAACACTGTACAGGTGTTAAGTGTTTAATTTTTTCAACAAAACTTCTTGGACAGACCTGCCCCCCTTAGACTGTTGCTCAAAGACACTATGCTTAAAAATAAAAGCCAGGTTGAAGAGTTTCATTCTAGACTATTTGACCAGAGGCAGGTTCTCCCTCTTCTGTCCCAAAATACAATTTCAACAGAACATTTTTTGAAGGTCTCTACTTTAACAGAACGTCATATTCCAACTAACTCCTCTCTGGATATTTTCCCAAGTACCTTTTGAAATCTGTAAGAGAATATGTTACAGCATTGAAGCAAAAAAGCCAATCCCTATTGTCTAGTAATCTGGATTTACATCCATCTCTCTGGAGATGGAGATGGTTCTGCAGTCTCTCCTGCAGAACCCTCTAGAATGGAGAACATGGCCAAACTGTCCTGATCTGGGGGAGTTATCAAGATGAGTCACACTGGGGGCTGAATGCAAAATTCTACAGAACAAAATGACCCTGTGGGTTACAAGGAACAAAAGAAAATTATGAACCATATTCTTTCATTCTTGTGTTACTATTCCTCCATTCTGCCTTTCCATAGCCACATGTGCCAGTGCATTCCTCTGTCTCTATATTTTATCCTGCTGTCTGTCCTGGGAAGGTTAATGAAGTTACCATAGCCTGTAGGTAACTTTTTGAGTTCCTGGTCTTGTGCTTTGTCATTCCTCTGAAAGTCTACAAGCTGCTTCCTGGAGGTGACCCTTCACCAGTCAGAGAGAGAGGATGCCAAAGTAAATGTCCACCATGTGCTTTCTCGTATCCTATTTCTCTTCATTCATGAGTCTTCTTTTTCTCTTGATAGGACCAGAGGGCTGTAACCTGTTTATCTACCATCTGCCCCAGGAGTTTGGGGATGCTGAGCTGATGCAGATGTTCCTGCCTTTCGGTAATGTCATCTCCTCGAAAGTGTTTGTGGATCGGGCGACAAACCAAAGTAAATGCTTTGGTGGGTAAAGATAACAAAACAATTAGATTCATCCAGGAAAGGGCTTTCTCTGAATACTTTACCTTTCAAACTGCTTTCTTTCTGCTTAAGCTTTATGATTTCTCTCAACTTACTCCTGTCAATACTTTCCCCCTTCCCACTTTCTCTCCTGATTGTCTCATGTTCAGAGTTGTGTGCGCTGCTTAGAGGTGAAGGTTTGGCGTTTCACCAGCAGCAAGATGCTGCAGCTGCTGGTGGTGGGCTGGAAAATATCCCCCCATGTAAGGGCAGGTGGGGATGGTATAGGAAAGACTAAAGAACCTGGGGCAAAAGGGCAGAACTGGGGGCTAGGTGAAGTATTGATGAGATCAGCAGAGGGAGCATGTGGCAGAAGGGGAGTTTCTGTACCTAAGTCAAAAAGACAAACATGGGGTCATGGGGTTGAAGGGAAGACAGAGCTGTGGGGGCAGCTTTTCAACAGCTGTGATGCATTAGACTGCAAGGGGATAAGGGCTGACCATCAGCTGAAATCCTGGTCTTATGGGGGATGGGGGGGCTGAGGGGGATGCAGGAGGGAAAGGGAGGGGAGGGGAGGGCAGGGGAGGGCAGGGGAGGGGAGGGCAGGGGAGGGGAGGGCAGGGGAGGGGAGGGGAGGGGGAGAGGGGAGGAGGGGATGGGAGGGGAGAAAGGGGGGGGGGGGAGGCGAGGGGGAGGCGAGGCGAGGGGATGGGAGGGGAGGGAAGGGAAGGATGGCTGCTTGAAGGATCACAGTAAGACATGCTCTGAGCCCACTGGACCCAAGGCAGCACCCCAGCAGATACAGATAGACCAAGGTAACCCTGTGCCTCGCTGACAGGCTGTGCTAGAGGCTGGGTTTGAAAGCTGCACCGGGATCACATAGCTCTGGCCTCATCACTGGCTCAACCTCGCCAGCTGGAGCAGGAAAAGAGCACAGACTGAGCTGCCTGTGGGGCAGCAAGCAGGAATACCCTGAGGGTGGGCTCAACCAGCCAAGAGCCATGGGGTAATGTGTGTATGGGGTTTCAGTGGTATGCTGCTGTTTGCAAACGTTCACTTGTGGCAGTGCAGCAGAATGGGGACCCTGTCACATTTGATCCCATCCCACCTGGTGGACAGGGTATCTCCCCCATCCATGTGCCCACCACTGGGATCTGTAATTTCTCTGCCATTCTGCACTCTTTGCAGACCTTCCCTGAGAAGTGCAACAGAACAAACTATTGCTTTTCTTTTCCTGTTACTTGCAGCTAATCTGGACTCTGTCTCTCAGGCAAACTTCCAGAGTTAAGACTCATTGGAGTTTCATTTGATTTTACAGCCACTCTCAATCTCCACACTATGCTTCCCTTCCATGCTGCCTTCCCCTTTCCCCTCCTGAACAGCCCACCTCCCAAAACTCTTACCTCATCCCCTGCTAGCTATGGTGCATGTCAGACAGTACTTCAAGAGTTTTGTGCCCTTTCTCTATGCACAGTTCCTCCTACACATCCATAGAGGCTCTGGATAGGATATTTTCCCCTCTGTTTGAAGGAGCCCTGACCCCTGATGAGAGGGACACAGAGCTCCCCTTCATCAGGAGTCACTGGGTTGCTGCACGCTCAAGCACCGGAGGAATGAAGGACAAAAAGTTTGGTGTGTAGAGGCAGTTGGGAAATTCAAATTAGAATCCAAAACTATGAATTAGCCCTGTTGTCTCCAGAGCTCACCTGCTTTATAGAGCTCCTACCATATAAGAGCTCGTAACAAGATAAATAGACCACCAAAGATCCAGGTGACATCGAAAACTAACGCTCCAAGGAGATCCACAGATTAGAAACGGACTTTTGGCAGTGAAATTGTCATCAATATTTAGAGGAATACTGAGCCTGGTTCTCCACATATTGACAAGTGGGAAGACCAAAGGTATATGGAGAAACGAGGTAGGAGTTGAATGTAGAAAGACAGAATGTCTTGTGCTGGACAGGTATTATCCTTATCCCAGCTCAGCTCAAAGGCTGATAACTACAAGATTTCATGAGGATAGCCACACATACCCAGTTTGTGGGGCAGGGTTTTGGGGCTGCATTTATTGCTGTTCCCAAGGTACTGCGAGATCAAGGTTGATAAGTGAGTAGGAATTGAGGGATCTTAGCAGAAATTTTTCTTAATATTGAGTCTCATTGGGAAAGACTAAACATCAGCTTGTTGGATGAAGTAAACTCCAAAACTAACTGTGGGATATTGAAGCCTGGAATAAGAAGGTGCCCTTTGGAAGTGTCGGCTCAAGCTCACAGGCCAGTGAAAGAAGGAATTAGAGATTGCTAGTGGATCTTTGTCACCTTATATTATCTTCTGAAACACAAAAAGTTAGTGTTAGTTAGTTTTGGGTCCCAGGTGTCAAGCCTCAGTTTTCTTTGGATTTAACTTAATTACCCATAGAGCTGAGTGCCTGCTGTGATGGTTGGTCTCAGACAAACATGTTGTCTATGCTGCCATGTGCACCAACTCCAGAAGGATAGAAATAGCAGAAGCACAGGTATCCAGTTATCACTGCTATGTCATGATGCTTTTCAAAACCCCCCATCCTGCTTTAAAGCAATGTAAAAATGTAAAGGGAGAGTACAGAAAATCAAGCCTTTCATTTGTTTTTGCTAAGTCTGCTGAAGCTGGTACTGATTGTAAATTTTTGTTCAGGAAGTAAATTTAAATAAAAAAATAAATTACTTTTTCCTAAAGGAATAAAAGGCATTTTATTAACTTTGAAAATAAGAAAACTCCTTCCTTTTCTGCTTAAACATTTCCCAAAACTCAACATGTAAGAACATAGCATTTGCATTCTGTTTCACTTTTTTTTTAACCCAGCTAAGCTCTCCAACTGCTAGCCTGGGGGGACAATTCTGTCTGGCCCCAGAAAGATATTCCACCATTATATGACCTTTTAAAATATATCTGCTATGCAGATCCCAAATAAATTGCTGTAACAGAGTCTAGCCCCAGGTTGTCGAGAAATTGTCAAGAAGTCCTGCTTTAGACAAACTTAAAAAACTCTATGAAGAAAAATGTCACCATGTTTTTTTCCATAGGAATAGAAAAAACTTCATTTTTTGCTTTTGCCTCACTGTTGAACCACATGTAAGCAGTTGGCCCAAACTGAATGAGTCAGTAGAGCAGCATGTCAAAATAGAATTTTGGAGGGCCACAATGATTATCAGGGGCTGAAGCACCTCTCCTATGGAGAGAGTTGGTATTGGTCAGCCTGGAGAATAGAAGATACTGGGGAAACTTTATTGCACCTTCCAGTATCTAAAGGAGATACAAGATAGCTGGAGTTGGATTTTTAAAAGAATATTTAGTGATAGAACAAGGAGGAATGGCTTTAAAATGAAAGAGGAGAGATTTAGCTTAGATATGGGGAAGAAATTCTTGGCTGTGAGGGTGGTGAGGCACTGGCATAGGTTGGTTGCCCAGGGAAACTGTGGCTGCCCCACCCCTGGAAGTGTTCAAGGGCAGGCTGGGTGGGACTTTGAGCAACCTGGTCTAGTGGAAGGTGTCTTGCCCACAGCAGGGGGGTTGGAATGAGATGATCTTTAAGGTCCCTTCCAACCCAAACCATTCTATTATTCTGTCATTCTATGATTTTATTCCTTATTATTTGGCTCTGATTTCTCCCCTGCATTTCAAGTACAAATTTATCTCCTTTGGTGACTACTGGCAGGATGGGCAATTGTGGGCATATTAGAAAGAAGGTGAGATCAGCCACAAGCCTTTCTCCTGGTTTCTGGAGTCCCTGACCCTGCAAAGAACCACTAGAACCTGCATGTGCTAAAGAAACCATGCCTGGTCAGGAAGCCTTTGACTTTCCCAATTCAGAGGCAAACAGCAAACATCAATATATATAAAACACCAATATAATGTATAAAAAACCACTGATATCATATATAAAATGTGAAAGTGCTTAAAATATGTCTGTGCTTTTCCATAGTGGGACTGCCTGCTGTAGTGTGTAAGATTGCCTGAGAAACCACCCTGACTTCTCACTGAAAAAAAGTCATTTAAACTGGAAGGCTTCTTTGCCTTTGACTTTTCTTCTACTGCACAAATCCAGGCTAGATCCAAATCCTTCACTTTCTCTTACCATTTTTCCAACCTCTGGCTTTTATTTTCCCTCCACCCCTACCCTGATGCAGCTGTAACATGGCCAATGCAGACCACCCTTCTCTTTTCCATTCAACAACACCCTGTCTATCCCCATGGCCTGAGCCTCCACCACACCAACCATATCAGCATCTCCTTGGGTCTCTCCTCAGGTTCTGCCTTGTCCACATTCTTGTATTCAGAATTACTGATTTCACCTTCACAGCTCTTTGATGCTCTGCCCTTCTCTCGCCTCTCTCACTAGCCCTTCACTCAATGCCCAGCTGGTACATGCACCTCTTTTGCAGCCAACATATTTCTCCTACTGAGCCATGCTGTATATTCCCACTGAAATAGCAGTGCCACAGCAGATATCATTGTCTCACTCAGGGAAAAATTACACTGAGTCGGATATTCCTTGAAGACAGTGACTCCCATTCTCACAGTAGGCTGGTCCAGGAAGTCTTGCATGGAGGTACAGTGTGCACACAGCCTGAATGTCAACATCTGCAGGACCCCAGAGCTTGTCTCTGCACAAGGCAGAGATTGCACTGGGTCTCCCACCTTCCCACTACACATATGTAGGTTGTTCTGTGTGTAGGTATGCTAAATGTCAGAGGATGTGAAAAACATCTTTGTGCTGGTCTCAATGGTTCTCGTGATAATTTTCCTCTCAGTTATGCAGATAGTTTAAATGTGAGCAGTTTGTGTACAAGGATTAAAGAAAACTCCAGTAAAAAATGACACTATTAAGGCTGCTAAGACAAGAAAGCAATCTGAGAAGAGCTATTCTTCACCATGCTCACACATGGCTAACTCTACCTCTGTCATAGGGTGATGCAACAATACAGCCAGGGATCACTCACTGTTGTCCCATAAGACACATTTTA